TCGTTCGTGCGTACATGACCGCTGTGAAGGCGGCCGATATGCAATATTATGGCAACCCCAACTGGAGCTCGGGCTGCTCCCTGGTGACATTTTTGAAAAGCTTGACTGGGAGGAAGTTTCAGGAACTGGTATTGGACTGCAAGCCCAACAACCTGCTAGCTTCCGAAGGACAGCCCCTGAAGGAGGCCTTTGCGAGATCTTGGGTTCGGTTCACACATTTTGGTCGGGCAGCAGATGATGGAGCAGTTACTACGTCAGCCGCTTGCGCTGCTTTTGTCCGAGCAATGAGCTTCATTGGCTGGTCGTCACAGAAGTCGGTTGATGTCTGCATTCCCATTCTTCTTGACATCGACAAACCGATCACCGAGGCCAACATGTCCTCCATCCTTGTACAAATCAAACTTCGATCCAAGAAAGGTTCTTATGAAGTTGATGCGATTTAGGGTCCCGCGATTGCATGAAGTCATCCCGCGATTGCATGAAGACGAAGATGGGTGTTGAGTCAGAAAAGTACTTCAGCCGACCTTATATCTCGCTGGTTATGGAGCTTGGGGTCGGAAAACTCCGCGACACGAAATCTGCCTTCGTCCAGGAACACNACAAGCAACAAAGTGTCTCCCCCTCGCATAGGCGTTGTAGCTCATCAACCACTGACCAGAATCACCTCTCGTGCCACCCCCAAGGCAATTCACCCTCGATACTCTCTCTGTTTCTATGGCTGCACAGCTGAGGTTTATGGATGCATTCATGAGGCTGCGGAGAGTATATATGAATTACTTCTTCAGCTGTCTGATATGGTTCCAGACCATCCTCGACCATCCAGCATCTCAATGGTTCTACGCATGAAGCCCTTCTGGAGAACTAACAACGAATCATATGATTGGTTCAACGATTCATGGCTTCGGGCTGATGAGAATGAAGTGGAGGAGGATGCAGTCATAGAGGAGGAAGAGGAGGATATGGTGCTGGAAAAGGTACAGGAGCATGTGCCAACCAGGTCTGAAGACAAGAAGCAGAATTTGGCCATGGTTGTGGACTAGCTTGGCTGTTGGGTGGATTTGTCCTGAATGTACTATGTACAAGTGAAATTGAATTCCCAGTTGAGATCAAATTTTCTTGTGTTTCGAATGAGCTTAAAGATTTGTGTGGTGAAAGAAACTCAATATCATTGAGTCAGAATTGCACAGACCAATGTCATTCCCACCAATGACTGACAACCAGGCTTTCTGCAATGTATCCACTCTTGATGCTGGCATAATCGGCTGCTGGATGAAATGCTCATTATGAATGCAAAGCCAGGATGTCACCACCACTCCTTCCCTCTCCTTTCTGCTCCAGCATTCTCAGAACACCAAGATGCTCATACCCTGTCCAAGTTGACCTCGATGTTGTCGATTCTCTGCAGAAGGGCAGTACCTCGCCCACAGAGATCGACTATGTCTGTGTCTCGCATTGCCATTGGGACCATGTTGGCACCCATTTGCAAAGAGCACCTTCCTCGTGATGCCCAGTCCCTCTTCAAATCTGGCTATCCAGAAGACCCAACCTCACATTTCATGTCCGACCTCTTCCCATTGGAAGGACGCACAAAGTTCCTCAATCCAACTGATTGGACACCCATTGGACCCTTCCCTCGTGCACTCGACTTCTTTGGTGACGGCAGCCTCTACATTGTTGACTCCCCTGGGCACCTTGTGGGGCATGTCAAGATCCTTGCCCACATGTCATCCGACAGTGGGGTGATCTATCTTGGGTGGATCTATCTCGGTGGGGACAGTGCACACCACTGAAACCTCGTCACTCTCAAGTCCGAGATTGTGGTGGCGAATTTAGGGCAAAGTGTTTTTTGTGTGCACATTGACAAAGAGGCGGGCCAGGAGCACTGTGTAGGATCAATGAGATTTGGAAGACGCCAAGGGTGAATGTGCTCATCACGCATGATGAGCCTTGGTATTGCGAGAGCAAGGGTGGACATTTCAGCTGTGTAAGATTCCTTCCAAGTGAGCATCCTCCTTGTGTGGTTATCTTCAAGCCACTGAAAGAGCATCCTCCAAAGAGTGTATTTATAACGGAAAACCATAGTTGATTTGGGATTGGCCTTCCGAGTTCCCTCCTGTTTGTAAGGCAAATATATCCTTGCATTCAAAAACGCCAGAGGTGCTTGCCTGCTGCCACAGGCACAACCACAGCAGTGGGCAAAAAGGCTGATGTCCAGTCAGCAACAAAAAGCTGACAAAGCTTGGCAAAGAAGTCAAGGAGGAAAGGTGAAAAATGGTGAGAGGTCATTCGGGTGCAAGGCTTCTGAGCAACACACATGAGAGGGCCAGATAACTATAGGTGCCCCTTGAGAACGCAGATATCAGGTAGCATCCCATCACCTACATTTCAACGCTGAAGGTGAGTTGCCCACAGCACAAACACAATGGCCCACACTACATCCATCGCAGTGTTCCCACAGAAGTGAGCAAATGTTGCCCTCCCACCTCCATCCGCGAGTCAGGTGTACTGCAGCGTGTCTGCCCTCAAGGGTGGGCATGTAGTCCTTCCAAGTGGCCTCATCCTGTCAAACGCACAGACAGACAGCAAAGAAGTCATACCATCCCTATGCTTCCTCCTCACCCACTCCTCTTTCAAGAGATTTGTCTGACCTCAGCACCTGGCGTGACCTCAAGTCTTACCAGCCCGCTGTGCGCAAGTACTTCTCCAGCGGGCTGTTCATCGCGTCTGTCTCTCAGGACGTTGTTGGATTGCTGGCCAAGGGCAGCCTGGCCCTGGACGACATTGACACCGTGTGCATATCCCACTGTCACTGGGACCATATCGGGAACGCACACACATTCGCACAGAGCACATTCGTGGTGGGCAGCACATGCCAATCGCTGTTTCCTGAGGGCAAGGCATACCAGGACAACCCTGCAAGCTCGCACGCACACAATCTCCTCCCTGTCGACCAGACGCGATGCCTCGTGGTGGAGGAATGGGGCCCTATCAGACCCTTCCCCCACATGTTCAACTTCTACAGGGATGGAAGCCTGTATCTCGTCAACAGCCCTGGGCACCTCCCTGGGCACCTCAACATCCTCGCACGCATGTCAGCTGACAGTGTACCTAGCAGGCAACAGTGCGCACATGTCAGTTGGAAAATAATTACCAGAGACTCTGAGATAAAAGTAGGCACACCATGGGATCTGCACTTTTGCATACTCGACAGAGAGAAGGCTGAGGGCCACATCGCAAATATCTGGGCCTTGTAGAAGATGCCTCAAGTGCAGGTCATTTTGGCGTGCGACATTCCTTTGTACCAGGAAAACAAAGACGGGCCTGCATTTTGGCCAGGTCATCTTTATGATACATGTTGGGAGTCTAATCTTGCAAGCTGGCTCAGAAGGGTCTGTATGAATACATGCATAGCTTCTGGATGTCTGTACAGTGAGGTCGCATGTCGTCCTTGTTGAGCTTCGCAGCAGGCTCTGGGCTATCTAGTCAGATGTGTTGGCAACAGGTCAGGCAAAAAGACTCACTCAGCTTTGGGGGCTTTGGGGCAGCATTTTCTGTGTGAGGGCATTTGGTGGCAGGTTTATTGACCATGGTGGTTCAAGAGCAAAATATATGCATTGATTAAAAGAGGTATTTATACCCTTCCACCTTCCTTACCTTTTCCTCCATGTTCAACCACGCACCTGCAGTTGTCTGTGCCGCAGAGCGCACCGCAGGCCGCAATGTCACGACTTCCAATGCCGCACCCACCGTCACCGCCGACTCTGAGGAAGCTCAAAGAATACTGAGAAGAATCACCGCCAATACTGGCGAAAATCCTGAACGCTTGCAACAGCTCTATGAGCAAAGGGCATAAGATGTCCAACCAACAGCAGCTGCAAGAACGATCAAGAACCGCCACACCCTCGCCGTCAAGTGGGGTGTCTATATTACCTTGTTCTGCAAAGTCCAGGAAGAACGCACTTGGCATGCCGATGTCATATGCACATTTAATCATGGCTTTCTCCAATTCATGGTAAGAGTTGGTGTGCATACATTCATTCTCTCCATCTCATCCTCCCTCAGCTGGACCAGTCCCAACCTCGAAAGGGTCATACCACCCTCAAGTCCACCACCCTTCAGGCGTGGATGTACAACCACACGTCCAATATTGTCACCTACGCCTGGGATGACAATGATTCTACAAACAGAGGGACTGGCATGGATCTCCTCACCAAGCATGGGCTCTTTCATGAGCTTAAGAATCAAGTGGTTCATTGCAAGTATTTTTCCTTTGTTATTTTCCATCGCTGACAACCCTTGCCTCAGTCACTTTTGAAAGAGGACTCGAGCGGACCCCGGACCCCAAGCTCTACTATGGCCGCCATGAGATCCTCCTGATGTTCAAGTATATGCTCGCTGCCTCCGCATCCGACGCATTCCACCGTATGGTCGGTCTGCAGAATTCAGTCCGCATACTCTTCACTTTCGTCACCACCTGTCGGTCTTCCACCCTTGGCCCAACAGAAAAGAAATATGCAGACTACGGCGAGGTATGCCACACTTCCATCAGCATCGTTCCTTGCTCATTTCTCTCTGCACAGTTCATCTGTCTAAAGGACGTCAAGATCATTCAACAAAAGCCGGGGGAATACACCTCAAAACTTCATTTCCACCACTTCAAGGTATCCTTTCTCTGCACATGCTTGCGCATATATTCACTTGCCTAGGGCTCTATCAACACAGTCGAGGCCGACGAGCAAAGATTCACCATCCAGCAAGTACTCTATGCCCACAATGCTACATTTGATCTCACTACATGGCTCATCGCCGACCTTTTCGCTCGCAATGCCTTTGCGAAAAAGTACAAGGCAAGCTTACATCCCACCCTCTTTCCTTGCCCTGGCTGACTTGAAACACACAAGACTATTGAAGAGTTTCGTGATGATGACTCCTTTGAGATTATGATTGACCCGGCGATGGAGAACGAGCCACTGTACATATGTCTTCACTCATCCGTCCTCCTGCCTAATCTGTCTACAGATTCCTCAAAGTCAACGAGGGAGCAAGCTCCTTTATGGTACCATACCAGCCTTCGCCTGCTTCTGCCCATGGTGCAGCCATATCTCATATGGCCAAGAAAGCTGGTCTACCTCCAGCTGGCTCAATGGCCATCCGCCATGAAAGCGGGAATAGGGTATGCTTCCACCTGCCCCTCCCCTCCTCCTCTCATCTCTTCTTTCTAGTTTGGTATTGCCCAGGGCATACAGTATGCAAAGGATGTGATGAACCATCACACCGTCACTGACGGCATCTATCGCCGCCACTACTCTATGAATACCGACAACTTCCAACCCCAGGCAGTGGTGCTAGGAGAAGTGGCCGGCGCCAATGATGCCTACCCTGGCCAACAGTACAAGGTAAACAATCTTCTCCTTCCGTGCTAAGCAATTGCCCTCATCTTTGCTCAGATCCATGATGAAATGCATGCTCTGACCAAGATGGCTGTTCAATCTCTGCTCCGCATCCGTGATTCAGACAAGGAAACCAACCTCAAAGCCTCTGTTGAAGCAAGTTCAAGTTCTGTTATTATCACTCCCTGTCCTCATACCTTTTGCTTTTCCAGGCTTCTCCAGAAATGGTTGAGGTTCTGTCGCGCCGCAATGAGGTTGTCGAGGAATTTATCGAATGTTTCACTGGCCCTGTTATGGCGTATGACCTCACCAGCCTAGCACAGTTGAACAATGTGTACAACGAAGCATGTGAACATGCTGACGCTTCAATTTCTGAGAAAGGCCTCATCATGTTTAAAGACGGAATGAGGGGTACAGCGGCCACGGTATTTCTACTTGTTTCATTTTGTGCTCTGCCACTCATTTGCTCTATAGTTGCACGAAGAGATCAACAAGCGGTGCCAAGAAATTGTCAACAAACGTCGCGCTGTAACTCGCAAGCTCAAACGAGAAGCAGATCAGAAACAGAGCAAATCTTTGCGCGACGGCCATTTTGCTGGCACTGTTGCAGAAGCCCATGCTGCACTGGCAAAACTTGACGCCATTGCTGAAGAGATTCTGCCCACAAGTAATGTTGCTTTCAATCCTTTGAATTGTTGACTAAACACCTTAAAGAAGGACCCCATCAAGACTTCAATGCCTGGAAGGAAAACCTCGAACGGAGCTACCTGCAAGAGGCTGCCGAGGCTGCTGAAGATGAGTACAATGCAGACGACGACTTGTTCAAGAGTGTTCAGGAAAAGGTCACGGATTGTAACCCACAGCCCGAACCTCTAGTTGTTTATGCCGATGGAGCTGACCTAGCCGACGAGAGTTTGGAGACTGACACCTATAAGCTGCCTATCAGGGAGGTTCTTGATCACCTCTTGCACATGCTGCTCGAGCCGATATTCCACCAGCGGCAGTACGACCCGCACAAGGTCTTTTTTTTTTCTTTTTCTTTGCAATTGTCCTTGCCGATGTCCTCTCTGACAGGTTCCCAGAGGTCACCTATGTCCAAAGTGCGCCAACTACACGCATCATCCCGAGAGGAAAGACTATGTCTGGAGCCCCTTTTCTCAGCTCACTCGCCACATGCAAGTTCCGTGTTCTCTTTTCATTACTATTCATGGCTGATACCAACGTAGTGACCAATTTCATTCACCATGGATGGAACTCGAGCTAGCAATGGTCAAGCCCAGCTTCGATGGCAAATACCACTGCCCTGCAGGCTGCAACTTTTCGTTCGAAAGCATTGTCAAAGTCCGCAATCACGCCGTCAGCGACATGTGCGCCAAAAAGGACGAGCATCTTGCCTTGAAGCTGGCCCATCAAGCAGCTACCGAAAAGTATAACAAATACGAACCCCATGCAAAAAACATCAGGGACCGTAGAAAGAAACTCAACGCCATGGAAGACTCTGACGAGGAGGATGAGTTTGAAAGTGTGCGTTGTCCGAAATGCTGTCCTCGTCTACTCGTTTCTGACACGCAGACAGGCCAAAGCTACGAAAGCCCTGCAGGCGATCCATGATTTCATAGAAGAGGGGAGGCACCTAACTGCAGGCATCACGGGCGATGACAACTGGGACACTGTTCAGTCATGGGAGTAGTATACATGTAGTAGTGTCAACACGAGGAGAATTAACTACGTCCTTGCGTGAATGACAGGCGCATTGCCCGCCTTCTCATTGAGAAGGCAAAAAACCCCGTTTTGGAACGCTTGTGACTTGCGCTCGCTCCCCCTCTCTCTCGTCCCACCACTATGACCCAAACCAACAAACGCGTCTCAGAGTCCCTTTCCCGTGGCAACACTGCTCTCAGAAGAGATCCCGGCTACTTAGTAAGTGCTAGATTCACGCCTGCTATGCCTATGCTGACCAAGGGCAAAGCACGGTTGCAAGTGGGGACTAGGGGTAGTGTTGCCACGGTCCGATTTGGTCCGGTCCAGTCCGGTCCCTGTGTGGTTTCATGATGTCATCGGTTTCCAGACCGAATCGGACCCTTTGGGACTGTCCGTTAATCGGTTTGCTCCATATATGGAATATTAAAATGCCCTCTTCACACTTTCGTCAATCTGAGATGGAAAAATTAAAATAAAAAGGATCAATAATTACTTTTTAAGGTCATTAATAAGCTTCTGGAGCAACTTTTGGTCAATTTATACGCTGCTCTGTCTAAAGGAACTTTTGCGTGACTTTGTGATGGTGAAATGTGACAAAAATATGTCCCATTAGCTCTATGCAGTCCACAGGTCCCAGATGCAGCCATATAGTTATTGGGTGCATCTACACAGCTTTATTTCATTCTATCTGTCCTAGAATCCCCTCAGACATGACAACATCTCCAGGAAATTTTAAAAAATGACATGCTTCCTCTTTTGGTAAAACCCTTTTGATCCTGGACCAAACCCACATTTCGGTCTCACGGTCCTTACGGTTCGGTCTCATCGGTTCCATTTGCGGTTTGGTTCCAACGGTCCGCGGTCTTCGGACCGGACCGTGGCAACACTAACTAGGGGCGCTCACAGGCCCAGCAACAAAATTTGCACGTAACCCTAATTCAAGCTTGAACAATGACATCGGTGCACATCTGGGCGAGGTAGCTCACTCTGCCAGCAAAGAGACGGTGCTCGGCGAGATAGCAATAGGCAAAGAGATGGCGGTCGATGGGAAGTCACGGTCGGACAATTGATATTGACGAGCTCATGTACAACCCCCTGAAAAAGCCTTCAATCACTCTTCTACTTGCGTGTACTAAGCGGTATACTAGCAATGAGCTGAGGGCTGGCCAGGGCTCACTCCGAAAATGACCTTCGGAGGGGTTACAGGTATCAGCAGCCGCACCGCACCTCCCAAACTTCCCGAATACGTCTGAACTAATGCAGCTTCTTCATCTGCGACTGGGAATTGGCGTTGTCGCCGCTGCGCCGATTGGCTTCCAAGCACGTCCGCGATCGAGGTACGCAGTATGACTATTCGAATCACATCCAGTCAGCGCAGACACGAAAGGACCGAGAACGAATCGGAAAACGTACGTGGATCCTCCTTCCGAGCCTCTCTATCGACCAACATCCTCTTTTGTGAAAACCCTCCACTTCGACTTCCTGCCCGCCTGGCTTCGCTTATCCACCCTTCTGAGCGGGAATTCCAGCACGAGGACGCCTGTAACGCCGCCGCATATCCTCGACAATCCAAACTTCCCAAACACTTCCACGACCTCGCCATCGTTCAGCTCCTTCATGCACAATGGATAGTAGGTGCTGTCATCGTGGTAGGTGCATTAGATGAGACCGGTGATAAGATACTGCACGGTATGGACATCTAGGAGTCTGTTGCTCCTGGAGGCGGCTTCTCTCGGGGTGGTAGTCGATGTGGTGATGTAGCAACTGGTCCGAGGTACTATTACGTAATGAAGTGACAGGCGCGTGTACTAACCGATATACTAACAGAGACTTGTTATATTGCTCATATTTAATGCTCATGACTGCAAAAGCATACGAGGCGAGGTAATCGACCTCTAATGATGTCACTGCGACCAAGCGGTCGAATATTGACCTCCAACGACCACTATGACAGACTACATTCGCCGCATAGTCTCGGGAGGCAAGGCAAGATTCAAGGACGATGCGCTCAAACTGGAGCTTGGTGTGTGGCTCTACCAACTTGTTCGTTTCGCAACGCTGAGTGTCCCCGTAGATCTCGTCTATGTCACTGACCATGTCATTATCATGGGCTACCCGGCCTCAGGCATCGAAGGCCTGTACCGCAACAGAAAGGAGGATGCGGTTCGATTCCTGGAACACCGGCATGGGAAGAACTTCTGGATCTTCAACTTCTGTCCGATCAAGGAGAACTCTTACGATGCTGCAGCGTTTGGGGGCAGAGTCAGCCGGTATCCTTTTCCAGACCATCAGTGCGAAGTTGTCTCGTTCAATCTGATGAAGAGTTCATTGATGCTTCAAACAGTGCCCCGCCGCTAGCTATCATGCCCTTGGTCGCGCGCGAAATGGATGCCTGGCTCAAAGGCTCGCCCGATCGCGTTGCTGTCCTGCATTGCAAGGGTGCGTCCCTCTCGATAAATCTTTCGCATTATCTCATCTTCTTATCAGCTGGGAAGGGACGTTCCGGTACAATGGCCTGCACGTACCTTCTTTCCCTTGACGACATCCCTATGTCGCCTCAGCTGCAGCGAAGCTACACTGTGAAGGAATGGGCCAAGCGACGACTAGAAAGTGCGATAGAAACCCTTCCACCCGACGAAGATACTCAGCTCACCTTCAGCAAGACCTCATCCACCACCAACCCCTTGTCCCCTCTATGCGAAACTCCAGGACCCTCATCCGACGTAGAGGGGATTTTGGACATCGAAAAAGGCTCTCCTCCACCCACTGCGACGGCCAATCCCGAAAGGTCATTCACGGATGCACTAAAGGGAGTTCTCGACCTCCATACTGCCAGACGGATGAAGCAAGAGGAAGGCAATAGCAAGGCGAAGCAAGGAGTGAGCATACCAAGCCAGAGGCGCTTTCTCTATTATTGGGCGCTGCTGCTAGCACACGACGCCCCAAAGCACGTCTGGGCTGTTGACTATTCACAGTCTGTTCACGATGCGGAGGACCGCCCTCCCTTCCAGAGAAGCACTGCATCGAGACCCAAAGTTCGCCTAACACAACTCAAGCTTCGCATGCGCGAAACGTCGGGTATGAAGCTGAGCATCATTAAAGCAGCGAACAAGGTTATCGAGCGTACGAACCTAGCCAAAGGACCTGACAAACCTCTTACCTCTGGAACAAGTAAAGAAAAAGAGAAAGAAAAGTCATCTTCGTCCTCGAGCCAAGTGTGGGCGTCTCTGGCGCGGTATGACGACACGCTCGTCGATCTCCTCGAGGAGTGGGAGACCCACACGCGGGATTCAGACGGTCACATGGGCAAGCGGAGACCGGGATCTGAACATATGAAGCGCGGAGAAACGACGGAAGAGGATGTTCTCAACGAGGTATTTCTAAGTGGCAAGTGGGACAAGGGGAAGATGGTGCGGAGTTTTGCACGGTTGGGCGTTACAGACGGTGCTGGTGAGGTGAATGCCGTGGACGAAAAAGTATGCCTTTCAGTAATCATCTTCTACATCTACTAATTCCGCTCCTCAGGAAGGAAATATCTATATATACACTCTCCGACCGCTGTCCGACAAACGTTGGGAGGGCCTCAAGCACGACCTGCAAAAGAACGCCAGCAACGCCGAGCAGACCCTGGATGCGATCAACACCAACGCTGAAGCAACGGGTTTATCGCGCTCAGAGACGAACTCGATGTACGACATCACGACGGCCGGCCTAAAAGCTGAGCTCGACCAAGGAATCATCCTCGACGCAGGCAGGGAGATCCGCGTCAAGCTCTACATGGGCCAGGTATTCATGGGCTGGCTCTGGTTCATCCCGACCTTCCACATGCCCCAACCACCACCGACAGCTTCTACGACACTGGCACCAGAGTCGCTCAAATCAACTCTCCGCCTCACGCGTAAGGAGCTCGACTTCCCGCTCGGCCTCGGGAGCAGCATCATCGATGTCGAGATGGAGATGGAGTGGGTCGCTCCAGCGCGTGGACAGGTAGGTGTTGAGGCGGTCGAGCCCCCGCTTCGCGCACGTACGGAGGATTCGAAGATCGGGACGGACGCAGAGCCTGTGCAGACTGGTATTGCGGCGCTTGCACAGGTGATGGTGAGCGACCAAGAAGTCGAGGGTGAGGGTACGAGCTCAGCGAGCATGGCGGGCAATGAGTCGGGAGGTTTGGGGAAGGTCGGAATTCGGGAGACGGTGGAAGCGAAACAGGGCGCAAAGGAATAAACTGGTTAGTGCCTCTTCTGCATTACTCACGTTCTATCCAGAGGCTGATACTGGCTTAGTGGAGTATATAAAATACTCATGAGGTAAAAGACTTATAATATGAAGTCCGTGAATTCAATGCCAACCTCGACCATGTCTAACCAATCAGCTTACTGCCTGATCATGATTTCCTTGGCATCGTGCGGCGTACTTCACAACCCTGCTATAATTTCCTTTTAAAGTCGAACTCCGATGCCCCAGGGAAAGCTTGTCCGAGTCTTGGCGCAGATCAGCTAAGCCGCCCGCAACTGGAAGAGGCATATTGCCAGTGTACCTGGTTCAACTTCTGTCTTCTACAAGGTCGAGGCGGGCCATGGCCTGTCCAGCAGTTGAGCCACAACAGTGCTCCGGCCGTCGACGATTTACTTGCTTCGTGACCTGTCTTGATACAAATTGAGAAAATCCTGAACACAGGGGTGGTTCTGAAGGCTGGAGCAAGTCAAATGTCGAGCTTCTGACTTTGAACGGCGATGAGGACGGGCGGGGATCGTCGAAGAAGAGGGCCTTTTGGCGGCTAGATCGACGAACTTCGCGCTTCTCCGTGGCTTATCGAAGATGCATGATAGTCATCGGCTCCTATGACTTGTTGCCCAAATGCCTCCGGTCCACACATAAAATTCGGCCTTTATTCCTATTTGCCATGCTGTTCAGTTAGCAACAACCATAAGATTTGCGTCGTCAGAAGATATATTCTTCGCGAGCTTTATCTAGTAATACCATATTCTGTCAGTGAGTCGTGAATTAAATCACTTGGGAACATTTATGTTATACAGTATTGAACAAGTGGAGCCAGCCAAGAACGTGCTCGGCAAATGTTGTGAGGCGCATTCTATTCTGTTATTTCCTTTTAAGCACTACCTGTTCCGGATGCGGCGCTCCTCCGAATCTTGGCATAGATCTGCTAAGCGACTTCCCCACAAGATACGTATCACTAGTTTGCCTATCCAGAACTATTGGAACTTGAGAGGCTGAACTATCGTCTTCCACAGGTCACGGATCGAGGCAAGTCCAGCAACAACCAAGTTCCGACTGTAGACAGTGTACTCAATGAAAGCGCTCGAGACTCGCCGAAATACACAGACGAAAGCCTAGAAACGCGGATGGAAGTAAATTCTAACACTAGAGCAGATAAGTTGTATGTTGAACAGTGACGAGGACGGGCGGGGATCATTAAAGAAGAGAGCCTTTGGGCGCCTGGATCGACAAATACTCACTTCTTTGGTTTGCGGTAGCAGCATGAGGTAGTCATCTGCACATGTGTCCTGACCAGATAACCCCACAGGATTAATGACGCCAAATACTCCAGGTTAATCACTGTCCAGTTATCATTCGGATGAACGTTGGTCCTCAACCTTCACAAATCCTGAAGTATTACATAGCCAGAACATCGTTTCTCAGCTACGCAAGTCATTTTACCGCTCTCACACTTGTTGGCTTTCATTATTACGACTGCCTCCAGGGTCCGAATGGGAGGCAGAGATGCCTATCACCCGATCCGCTGCAGCCGGCCACAAAAGGTACCCCGAGATTATATTTTCTGTCTATAAAAGCGGCCTGAACAGCAGAGAGCTACCTACAAGCCAGCCAACGCAACGCTTCTCTCAGTAAAACAACACAATGTCTTCTACTACTCCTAAGACTATCGCGCTCAACCCTGGATATCGTGGCTTCGTTGTCATCGTACGGTCCCACCCACCGTTCCCCATCTCTAATTACTTATCGCCTCCGTTGCCGCAGGTCGTCCACGCTGGTTACAAGCAGCGCGTCTTCCTCGACGTGCGCGACATCCAGAACACTCAGATCACCTCGGCCACATTCGAAGGACAGGGTGCCAAGGCGTACGCTAAGAACAAATTCGACAACAGGCTCCATTGGTCCTTTGGACCGTTCGATTACAGGGCCACCCTCTCCGTCAAGATAACCCACATGGAAGCAGGCGACCGCCTCGTCGACTCCAAGATGTACGGACCGCTCGAGGTACGGGTTAATATTTCGTCGTTGATCCTGAAAACACGGACTCATGGACGATGTTGTGTAGGTCGACAAGCAGCCCGAGCCTGACTATCCTATTAAGTTCTGCCAATCAATGGTGGGTCCTCACACTTTTATACCTAGAATAAGGATTACTAATGCACGTATCGCGTTGTAGGTATTTTCCGAGGATGCGACCGACAACGACCGCGACGATTGCATCGTTTCGGTTCTTCAGTACCTCCAATAAGTCTCTGGAATTTCGCACCAGCCGATGCAGCGGGCGAATAGGGCGTCGGGGGGACAGGAAATCTGAATTCTTGTAATGTGTGTATAAGTTGTTCCTCGATATGTAGTTGTACGTGTATTCATGGCGAAGATAACTGAAGAATGGTGACAAAGTTGGTGACGATTAGGGGCGACGCGAATGCACGTGGCCTACGCGCTTGAATTATTTGTCTCTGTTTCCAGTGATCCCCAAAAATCTGAACGACTGCGTCCAACCCATTGCCCTCTACTCTTTTCTCCCCACACGCCTATGATACCTCCCGACTACACCTGCTGACCTACATAAACATAACGATATACCTCCTACAAGGAGAGAATGTCCACCATTCCTGTAGGGCTTCACTTGGGCGCTGTGGAGCCTCAACCGAACACCTGATTGACCAACGGCTGATGCAGGTGAGGAGACTGGTGCGATCCCACAAGGACAACGAAAATGCCAATGCGCGTTCCTCACGCGTGACGGTAAACGCAAAGACGGCGCTCGGAGGGCCTCTTGGGGCTTTAGACTCATCTGTCCAGCTGTGGGATGACCTCGACGCAAACAATTTGGATGACTGATGGTCAGTGAATACGTCGCAGACGTTTTCGTACAATTGATTGAAGTTTTTACTGCTGATCCTAGATACATAGGCTCGAACTCTAGGCCATATTAGCTAACGTTAAGAGCTGGTGAGGCTTTAAACATTTGATATCTGGAGAATGTAAGTTCATCATTCCAGCTCTCGTATTTTTCGGATGTGTTGCTCTGTGCGCGTCACTCGCCTTGGTCATCCAACACTCAGCTTTCGCGATTGGCTTTTTTCTCTCTTGTCCCCCCTATTTTATACCCAGACCTTCTCATATCAGCGGTGTCAATTCCCGTATCTATTTCAGATTCTTGGACTGGTTCGTGACCTCGAGAGCGTTGTTGACGATTCATGAATACATTTTTAGAGTCTCTCATGGCCGGTCGCGGGTCAAGTGTCCATCGCAGGGCTACCGAGCGCTGGGTTCGCGCTTTTTCTTTTACCAGGTTGCGTTCTCGAACTCGTTCTGTGTTAGTGATCGTGCGCCAAGCGAATTACCCCACTTCCAAATTACCACCTATCCCCAGGCGCCTATATCCAAGTCCGTACGCCGGTGACCCAAATGCCTCAGATTGCCAGTGATTTGGATCGATATGGACAGAAACCTGCCTCATCCGTGGCTGTCGCTCTCACACTGCGTCCACTTTTCTCTTGTCTTTCCGCGGCCGTCCATCTGATGGTTTCTCCATGCACTCATCATGGGTTTACCCCACATTACCCCGTCCGGGGAGCTCTTGGCTGCGACGACCAACAACGCCGGCGCGCCATATGGCGCCGACATTCCCATTCCTGGATATCCCCCTGAATGGCTGCCTTTCGTGATTAAATCCATTTCGGCAAATGGCGATAGGCGACCTCCTGTGCCTAGTGCCTAGTGCCAGTAAGCGGCGTTCATTCGTCGCCGGCCAGCGTCCTATCGCAAAACAAAAATCTCCCAAGGGGACACCCTGACGCGCGTACCATGCGTAGCCTGTGGCGTCGCGCAGATCGCGTCCAAGCCTCTTGCTACAGCCTCCGGAAGCGTACACACTCTCCCCAATCGTAGGTGCCATTGATAGCGGCGGGGGAGGGTGGAAGAGAGAAGTCAACAGGCTCCGACAAGATGCTGAACTTCCTTCCTCTTGGCGCCTCTCTGAGCGTTTAGGGTCGTCACCTTTTGGAGGCTTTCTTCCCCCGGACATTGGCAGGTCTCGGCCGCCCGGGATGTGGTTACCGAATGCAGCTGACGGTTTAGGTATTTATTCGAGCTCACGTTTTCGTGAGCTGCCTTCCGCCCGACCCCGACTTCACCTCTGCTTGCCAGCAACTGCAGAGGACGCTTTACCCAAGATGTCAGTTGACGTTCCGCGTACTTTTGGAGCCTTGATGGTTGGAGGCATCGTGGCTGCAGTGTAAGTCCCGAACGCGTTCCTTTCAGTTTCCTAAGTGTATTAACTTTCCCTAGCTTTTCTGGTGTCGTCACATCACAAGCTTTCGCGTACTTTAAACAGTACCCGGATGACGCACCAGTAGTCAAGACTATTGTACGTTCGATTTCTTGTCTTCGGCGCGTCGTTCTCAACTGAGCTATTCCGAACGCCTAGGTTGGAGTCGTTTGGTAGGGTTGTAATTAAAATGCGAGCGATTTCCATTGACCTGCGACTTTTCCGCAGGGGACTCGATTTCTGGCATACCATCTTTGTAACTATTTCGCTGTGGTACCATCTCATCGAGAACTTCGGCGAACCGGAGAACATCGATTATATCCCTTGGTAAGTTCGTTGTCGCGTCGAATGTATTGTTTGAAATTCTGACAGCTACCTCAGGTCGTTGGCGGTGCGTAGCCTAATTCGAGAATGACGTTCAAGGCTTAGTATTGACTCCTGGCCGAAGATGACGATCGCGTTCACTGCTACGCTCACATTCCTTGTTCATTTGTGAGTCCAAGTGAGGTCCTCTGATGACGAAATGCTCATTTTTACCGACTTGAAATAGATTCTTCGTGCACCGCATCTTCAAGCGTAGGTCCGCCTTCAGATGTGGCGATTCCGTTTCTTACATTGAACTACTATAGTCAGTCACAATAACTATTATCTCGCGATACCCCTTGTAAGCCTATTTCGTTCATCTCCAAGTCGTCGCCCAACCTTATCAAATCTCTGTAGGGCATGATCGCCGTGGCTCGACTCGGTAAAGTTAATCATTGAAGGCGCTGAGGGTCGCTGACTCGAATTTAAATCAATTTCAGCCTTTGCCTGTCGTAAGTACTTACTCTTCAGTCCCCCCCAGCGTGATAGCTGCTGAGTCCCGTTTCAATGAAGTTACCACAGTCACCATGTATGTGTTCTCGAATTCTAAATGGGACGTCGGCTCATTCACCTCAATAGGATTACTCTCAAGAGCCTGAAGCTCTTCGTTGAGAGATATACAGTATGCCCTGGATATCATTCTTTTTGAAGACATTTCTTATCTATGACGACAGTGGTCTTTCACGACGGGCTTGACGTTATCTGCAGTCCTCGACGTTCTGATCACTGGCCTGCTCTGCTACCTTCTGTTGAAGAGCCAGAAGTCTAACTCGAGGTTCGCCCCCACGCTCCTTGTCGATGTGATTGACGCTCACTAAGGTTAGTATGAACCACATCCTCGACAAATTGATGCTGTACGCCTTTGAAAACGGTTCACTGACTTGGTACGCCCTCTTTCTTGCACTTTGGCACATTCCCTGATACCCCTGCCCGACTTAATGAAGCGCGGCCACCGTGATTTCTCTCATTTGCGTCAGCTCTTATGTCCCTTCCATCAATGGCGCGCAACTGAAACCTCTCCTATTAGTGGCTTGCGATGCCAGAGAACCTGATATTCATGGGGCTGCATTTCGTGATTAGCAAATGTGGGATCATTGAATATTCGTTTGACCCTTTTGCAAAATTCTCACTTGCTTCCAATAACAGTCTACGCCAACTCCCTCCTTGCAACGTAGGCTCGCATTCCCTTGTTTCTTTGGACCTCTCTTCTTATACGTCTCATAATAGTCTTAACAAGCGCAGAGTCCTCCAAGCTGGTCCCCGGTCGCAACAATCTGGTTCCGGTGGAAATCTCGCAATCATGTTTCCGGATTCGTTTGGGCTGACGTCGAGGAAAGCGAGGGTAAGTTGCTCTTGTCCATGATGAATCTTTTCGAATAATGGTCTCTGCTTGAATCACAGCACGAATCTCATGCTCCTGCGGTACGTTGTCCCCCGCATTGCATTCTACAGGCACCTGGCTTATCTTTCATCCGTTTGATAGCTATCACAGGTCCATATCAAGGTCGACCAGACAAAATTGTCCGTTACGGATGGAGCGGGAGCAAGTGACCTGAAGAGTGAATCGCCTCAGGGATATTGACATTTTAGCACGTGTATGTATGTAGAGTGCGTAGTCGATTGGTCTCACTCAGGGTCTGATCTCCCTGAACATTCCGGGGATCATGCCGAAAATGGATGGCAGGCGGGACAGGTATGACACGAGGCTCATCGCAGACCCCAGGAAGCCCATCAGCGCGTTAGCTGCGGGTTTTGACTTGGCGCCGCGTGGGCTAGATATGTACACTAAAAATAAGAGCTTCTTGCCGGCTCTTGCCTGTACGCGTCGCGTCGGTGGCTGGACTTGTGCGCCTCTAAACAAGTGCCAAGCGCATGACTCGAAGTTACGGAACGGTAGTATGATACAAGATGCGAAGCGCTACGAAATGCGGGCGCTTAACAAGGGCTAGTGTAGAAGAGTGACAAAGAGTTCGGGTGACGACGCAACGGCACCCACGAGCCTCAAGGTGAGGACAGCAGAGGGTGAATACGAGATGCAAACCATGTTATTGCCCGCAAATTTTTGATCAGTAGATTATCTATACTACAGAAACTATTCAAGCAAGAATGAATGAGTGGGGGATTAGGGAGGACACGCGATATGAATGTCAATGTTGGGAGAGGAGGAATTTCTTGAGGAGGAAAGGGAGGCATGCCGAGCGCATCGGTTGCCGTGAAAACGGGTGGTGCTTGTCATGGGCTGGCTGCGCATGCTGACGGAGGGTAGGCAGGCCCATCTATCTGCTGCCATGACCTGTATGACACGGTGGAAGCGGTTGGACACCATATGCAGTATAGAGTCCCGAAACACAGTGACGAGGTGATAAAAAATGTTCTTGCAGGTTTTACAGAGTCAGAGGGGAGCTGGCTCGTCACCGAGCTATAGAAGGCATCGGAGGATTGAATATGTTTGGAGTAAGGTGTGATTCTTCCCAGCGTTGGCAGCAATTAAGTCTTTCATTAAATATGAGATTCATTCTCGAACAGGCAAATGACGGTTTACAAAGGACCGATTAAGCGCTCGCTGTCGGATTTCGTCTTCAGCATGCTATCGATGCGTGGATCTATTTTCTCTATATTTATGTTTACTGTGTACATGTGTATCGGTTTAGTACTGTTGATTAAAATGCGACTTGTGTTTTGTGCCCTACAATGTGAACTAGACGGAATATGAAAGGTCCTTAAATAGGAGGCCCGCATTAGATGCGCATCCTCACTTGCTTCGCACTGAGGTTCGCATTCCGCAAACTGCCTGAGACTCGAAAAATACTACTTTACTCAGTCGACGCTTAAGAAGACAACAATTTATTTTATTGTATAAAGCTTTAATATCTGCACCCAGGATACAGCGCCCACGGGTTTGACCAGGATCGGATGGTAGCCGCCGTTGCTGGCTCAAGCGCTCACCTCCCGACTGAGATATATTTCAGACGAACTGACTTTCCCTCTCTATGATCCACGTGTCCATTATGGTATCTATAGGGTACTTGTTAATGTATTTAGATCTACGTGGCCTCTTTTATCTTTCCACTCCGAGCTAGGTAGACAAATCGCTCTCGGAGGAGCTGGCGACGACTCGCACAGCCACTAATCAAGCGCTCGTCGTCGGATTTGGATTGTAGCGCACCACACTATTGAACGCTGCATTATCTTTTCTCACAAATAAGTTTATTATGTACACTTCTATCCATTTATTATAGTTTGCCGGAAAGTTGGTTGGTGTGGCTAGCTATACGACATAAATTAGACGAAATCTCGAGGGAGATCAGAGAGATTCTCACGCCTGCTCACCGTTTGCGGCCCGCAGCCCGTGTCACCCGCAACTGCATCGTAGTCATCGAACGGCGATTATACAGCAAATATCTTATTCCGGGGTGTTCTGGGTCCTCCCGATGCTCAACTCTTCTGGTGTTGATGCGCTGGGGCCGGGAGCGCGCGAGGGACTGTATTTGGCCATTTCGGGCTATCCTGCCACCTGTCAGCATCGGGATCAGACCCTGAGTGAGACCAATCGACTCATCACTGATGTATGTAGTACCCCCTGTATTCCGATGATCTCTCCTTTTACCGGTCATCGACTCGTCCGAACCCAGCACGAACGATAAGTTCCTGAGCCTATCTTGTCTCGACTTCATATAGGAACGTCGGCTTTCGCGAATCGCGGTCACTTCTCGTGATATTCGTCACCAATCTGTTTCATCCAGCTGCAGGCTGGATAGGCCTTGGTGTCGTCTCCCGCTTCATTTCATTTAATTTATCTCCTTTTATTTTTGGACATACATAATTAGGCGCGTCCGGGAGCGTTTTCAAAGATATCAAGGCCGTGCTGAAACACCCTGAGGTGCAGATTCAAGCTTTTTCTTGAGGACAAGGTCTCCAAGTTAAATATACAAAGCTCGTACCCTCAGTAAGCGGATGGATAGTTATCACGACCTGTTCTCTCCGTTCGTCTCGAAGCAAGATAAGTATGCTCTCCAGGAGATATCCCTAGCCCTGTCTTCCGGATAAAACTATTGAGAAACCCCATTTTCGGGTCAAACCCCGGGTTTCCGCAGAAACCCGTGTAAAAGCGATGAATGTGCTTGTAACCGGCCGAATCATGCCGACGTGCGGAGTTGAATATTCTGAGTAGAGGCTCGCAGAAGTCGACCTTCACTGCCGTCTCGCACAAGTCTTGCAGCTCTCGGGCATGGATTGTAGATCCTTAAGCTTGTAGTATCTTGGTAATTTGACGTTATTTCTGAATGTAGCCCTTCTCATCCTTATTTCAGGGTTGTAAATTGTAAATTCCAGTAGACGATGCCCTCCGAATCCTGATCACTGAGAGTATGACACTTTGGTTAAAATGGCCGCACTCGCCAACCTTCGTTTCACATTTTGGCCAATGGCCTAGGTCAGAGCTGTGCCCCTTCAGTTTTCGTTGTTCCCTCACCGCGACAATGGCTCACTGGCCGAGTTTTCGAGAGTATGCATCGCTGCTGCTAGCATCTTGATTGTTCAGTGTTTTTTTTTTCTCAAAAACTCATCATTTATCAAGCACCAGAGATAGACTTAACTATCCAACAATTTCAGACCATTGCGCCTCTGCATGCCGGCCTATTTCTTCGACATGAGCTAAGTCCTCCGAGAGTACAATTACAGCGGAGATTGAAACCTTATCAGCGCGAATTGGGTTTCCAAATAAGCGATAGGGTTTCTCCGAAAAATGGGGTTTCTCAATAGTTTTATCCCTGTCTTCCGAATTACCGCTACCCGAGCAGGAGAACCAGCTAATCGCCGATGCTAACCTTGAAAACCGAAAAATGGCAACGCCAAAGTTCAGTGACAAAGTGGGTGAAAATCAGGGGCAACGCGAAAGCACGTGTCCAACGCGCCTGAGTTGTTTGTCTCTATTTCTGATGCCCAAATGTGAACGGCCGCATCACTTGGCCTTCCTTGTTCCTGCGTCCAACCCAGACCCGGCGCCATCGCCCTCTACCTTTTTCTCCCCCACACACCTGCGATACCTCCCGACTATACCTGCTGACCCACATAAACACCTCCTACGAGGAGAAAATGTCCTCCATCCCAGTAGGTCTTCATTCGGGCGCTCTAGAGCCTCAACTGAACATCCGACTGACTGACGGTCGATGTAGGTGAGGAGGAGGACGAGGTTGGTACGATCCACCAAGGACAACGAGAACGCCAATGCGCGCACATCGCGTGTGACAGCACGCGCGAAGGCGGCACTTGGGGGAGCGGCTCCAGCCACAGCCGCATCCTCCCGTGCCACAGCCTCCACAGCCGCTTCAAAAGCTAAAAGCATAAACGTGGATGTTGCTACGAAGGAACCGATTGGAGCGAAGAGGAAGAGAGAGGTGTTGGTGGAGGTCACTGGTTTGGCCAACAACAACAAGCCGAAGAGCGGAGCAAGAGGGTTGAAGGGAAAGGACGGAGAGAAGGAAGTGTTGAAGGACAAGGACGTGGTGGTGAGGCCGAAGGCAGGGAGCGTGAAGCCTCCCTCGAGGAGCGGTCGAGTGGCTTCTGGAATTTCTGCGAGACGATTGGTTCGTGCGACGAGCGAGAGCACAACTGCGTCGAGGGAAACAGAGACGACTGTGGACAACAAGCCTTCCCTCGAACATGTCGAAGAGGAGCCGATGCAAATTGACGAGCTACACCTGGAGAAGGAAGTCAAGACTCCGAGAGAGGACGATGAAGAAGAAACCGCTCGTGTCTTCAAGAGGCGCCATACCGATGAGAAACGCGTCGCCCACGTACAAATCCAGGATGACTCCCAGGTCGAGGCCGACACGGTTGCCGCTGCTCTTGAGGCTGCTGAGCCCTCTGTCCAGGTGTGGGATGACCTTGACGCTGACGATTGGGATGACCCGGTCATGGTCAGTGAATACGTCGCGGACGTTTGCGTGTACTTGAAGCAGATCGAGGTTCGTTCCGCCCTCCTCCAGTGCTCTTCTCTGACACTCATGCTCTCTTACAGGTTGAAACCCTGCCGGACGCGAACTACATGGACAAGCAACAGGAAATTACCTGGGATCACCGCGGCGTACTCATTGACTGGTTGCTCCAGGTGCACGCGCGGTTCAACCTCAACCAAGAATCGCTGTTCCTCACCGTCAACGTTCTCGATCGCTTCCTGGGCGCGCGTCCCATCTCACTCTCCAAACTCCAACTTGTCGGCCTCGCGTCCTTCTTCATCGCGACCAAATTCGAAGAGACGTACGCGCCATCCATCAAGGAGGTCGCGTTCCTCTCGGACGAGCAGTATACGGCCGAGGATATCCTCAAGGCAGAGAGGTATATCTTGAAGATCCTGGAGTGGGATCTCCGTGCACCCGGCCCGTTGATATGGTTGAGACGCGCGAGCAAGGCGGACGAGTGTGAGGTGCATGCACGGACTATTGGCAAGTACTTGATTGAGATCAGCCTTGTGGAACGGCGCTTGGTGGGCAAGGTGCCCTCGTTGATATCTGCTGCAGCAATCTGGCTTGGTCGCTTGACTTTGGGACGGGATGAATGGGTACGCGTTTATTCGTTTCCTCGTTCTGCGGCCATTTTGATTTTGATTTTGATTTTGATTTTGAAATAGAACACAAACCTCGAGCATTATACGACCTACTCGGAGAAGGAGCTCCTTCCTGTGGCCAAAATCTTCCTCGAGTACATCCTGACTAACCCGGCACCGCACGAATCACTGTACAAGAAGTACACTCACAAGCGGTACTTCAGAGTGCGTTCTTCCTCGCCCTTCGATTTGCTTTCTGGGCTTTGCTGACCGTACATGCAGTGCAGCGCATTCATGCGTCAATGGGCAGCTGAGCGCTGGCACGAAAACGCAGACATCAACATCGTGAGGGACCTCCCGCAGCTCAAGGAAGAGATCCGCGAAACCCGCGAGCTGCAAGAGGCGGAGGAGAGGACGCTGGCTCGCGCTCAGGCTGCTCAAGCCGCTAAGGCATAGCATATAACCTCCCAGCGCCAGCGCAGCGGTCCTAGATCTAGGTCTTGAGGTGTTTTGAGAACGAGAAGTAATGTTCGATTTACGTGGTACTTATCTCTCTCTGTATGCATCCCATCCATCCATCCACTTGCCATCTATTCTCATTTTTACCAATTCACTCATCATCCACCCATCTTTCCATCGATTCGTTCATTCGCTCCTTCGTGCATCTGAACTTCTGCTGCAATTCTGTCTTCCTTCGTTCCACACTTGCTTCTTCTCTTCTAGCACGCGGCAGGAAAGCGACGACTTTCAAAACACACATATTTAATCTTGATTCAAGTTCTTGAGGCTTGATCGTGCATATATCGATAGCTCCGAGCCCACTTTTTGTATATTGGTGTCAAACTTAGTGTATTTGGCTAGTGTACATTAAGGACGACGACGGGTACTCACTCTCCTTAATTATCTTTTTTTCTCCCTCTTTTATGGTTCTGGTTGAGTGTGCGGCGCCAAGATGGTCTGCCTAAGCCCCTATTCAGAGTCCCGGCCCGGAGGTTGTGGGAAGTTGCAGCCCCGATATATCAAGCAGATCCACTCTTCCACCCGCGACGTTTGCGACGAAGTTTCGTTTGTGGAAGACGATGGAGATGGAAGAAAGAGTGAAAGATGTATTGGAAGTAGAAGAGAACAAAAGACGGACCCATATGCCCATCGTTGACTTGAAATCACCCTGAATGACTCAAGCGCCCTTCCCGATTTGTAAAACATGTCGTCAGTTTCATCTCTTCCACAAACCTCCATTTCCGATCCGCCTACGACATGGTCAAGGGCAACCCCAAGTCCTCCGCGACGTCTGCGACGCGCAAGAAGCATGCTAAGAAGAACGCTGCCCCGCAGGACGAGCCCCCGCCGAAAGAGAAAAAGCCCAAGGGCAAGGTCGAGCGGGGAAAGAAGAAGGAACCCCGCGTCAAGATGTACATCTCGCCCGTGAAACCAGCGCCGGTGCAGCCTGACCCGCTCGAGACGACCGGGTTGGCGCATGCCCTCCCTGCGGATCTGTTAGTGGTGCTGAGGAATATAAGTAAGAAGGCGCAGGTGACGAAGATTAGGGCATTGGAGGAGTTGCAGATGAACTGGGTCGATCGGTGTCTCAAGGAAGGCGAGGGAAGTGGCTTGGTATATACGTTGGTCGAGATGCTCCCTGTGTGGGTGAGTTCACCATGTACGATGTTCGAGGGCATTGACAAACGAAAGGATAGCTTCACCATGTCTCGGCTCTGTTCGTCCACCCTTCACGAAGAGTTCGACTTGTAGCCGCGTCCTTGCATTCATCTTTCCTCGAGCTACCCGCGACACGGGACCAGATCATCTTCTTTCTTCGCGAAAGTGCCTCTCCGACGCAAGTGGAAAGCATATTGGGCACCTGGAGTCTTGCGGCAAATGACGTCGATCGTTCCGTTTCAACAATCGCGTCCAAAACCTGGAAAGAAACAATCCTTACATCGTCAACAGAGGATTCTTCATCGAGCAAGCACCTTCTTCTCGACGAGAACCTCCGATCCTCGTTGAACTCATTCGTACAACGAGCAACCTTGGATCCCAGCGGCGTCTACCTCCATCTCAACCCGCCAGCTCCGCCTCCTCCTCTGGTTCCAGCACATGTGGCGAACAGGAGTGCAAAGTCATCAGCTGCATCTACACCGCGGAGGGATGATGGTGATCAGACTCCTCGGTCGAAGGTCGACGAGCAGGAGGAGAGCGAGCAGGATCGGAAAGCCAGGCTACGGATAGCTGCTCTCGGTGCTGCTCGGTCGATACTAGGTGCGTTCTTTCTCTATGTTGCACAAGTGTGGCGATTTTACGGCAAGCTAGAAGCAACAACAACTCTCCCAGAAGATCTTCGAGACTTCTTCTCCGACCCTGTTCTTTGGAGTTCGCTCCAATCAGCGGAAGCATGCCCCTGGATAGACGTGGAAAGCTTTGGGTTTGCGCAGCCGAATGTTCGGAAAGCGGCTTGGACTCTCTTGCAGTCCCTTCTGGCCCTCCACAAAGGCTACAAAGGTAAGAGCAACTCCCTGGGAGGGATATCGTCTTCCTCACCTTTTACCTTAGACCATTTGTCTCTTATTCTTGGAATAGCCATTCTACGATCGGCCTGGGTCGAGACAGATACGATAGTGCAAAGTGCTATGTGGCAGCCACTGCTCATGTTTCTGAAACGTACGGTCCCCCCATGCTTTTTCTTCTCCCTTATGTCTGCTTATCTCTTGCTCAGAGTCACCCGAATCATGGAACCTAGAAGCAAAGAAGATACCTCAGGATGACGAAGAGGACTCTGGCTCCGAAGCAGATGAAGATCGCACCGACAGCCCTTCAACAGGTCTTTATCAAGCCTACCAAGAGTTCCTCCAATTTCTCCAACTAGGCTGTTCAGGGTCTCCCATCCAAGGCTACCCAACCGTCGTCGTCGTCGTCTCTACCATCCCGCCATCCCTCCTCTTCTCCACATCCTCACCACCCCTTGAACAATTCTTCGCGTCTTTCTGGGCAGCGATCGATGCCCGGGCGCTCAGCTCGCTGCATCGCATTGCTGCGTCTGCCGCCTTCTTGGGCTCGCTACTTGAGTGCATGGTCTTCCTCGTCAGGCGCCTGCGGAATAATGACGAACCAGCGCACGCCAAGGCTGCTGAAACCGTTGTGAGAGAACAGATCGCCCGCGTCTGGGAGGAGCTTTCGAGTAAGCGGCTGAAGATGGAGGAGAGGGCCGCGGCAAGAATGCTGGCGCAGACACTGGAGTCGCTCTTCGGCGTCGAGGAGGCGTTGTTCAGAGAGGCGTGGGAGACACTGGAGAGGGTGATCCAGGAGTCGAGTGTGAAGGAGGCGGACTCTGGGCTTGTCGCGTCGTGCTTGAAGGTTCTGGTTGATAGGTTCAAGGAGGGCAGTGTGTTGAAGGAGAAGGCGAGGGAGTTGGTGAAGGAGGTGTTAAGTGCGGATGTTGAGAGGTGCGAGAAGGTCCTTGGGTCGGAGGGCAAGGAGGATGGAGAGGAGGGTGCGGCAAAGCCGAACTTTGCGTTGATTGTGGATATGCTGGAGCAGTTCCGGCAGGGATTGTTCGATCATGAAGCTTTCTCGAATGTAAGCCTTCGGTACCTTGCGACCTTACCTGCACCTGATATCTTCCCTAGAAATTGGACAGCCTACTCTCCCAACACTCATATCGTCTGCTCACTCTATCGCCTCCTCTTCTCCTATCGTACCTAGTGCACCGGAAGGACGAGTCGAAAGCTTTGGCAGTCTGGCATTCACTGCTATCCAGCGCAGCCGGCAGTGCAGCGAACAGTCAAGCCCCAGATCAGAAGGCGATGAACAGCCTTCTGGGCGCCGTGCATCAAGGTCGCTTGCCGAAGTATTTGAAGCCGCAGGGAGGAGAGCTTGATGGCCTCGTTGGAGGCTTTTTGGAGGAGGCGTTGGGGGGACCAATGGGCTCTGATCAGCTCCTACTGGTAAAGCAGTTCATGGCGTTTTCAGGTATGTCTCCTGTCTAACATAATGTTCGAAGCCATCGAACTCATCATATTTTTCAGATTACTTCCTCTCGGAATCAGCGGTTTACACCTTCCTTCAAATTACCATCGCCACCTTCACCTCGAACGTTGGTCAAGTCATCGATGGCGAGGAAGTTCAGATGACCACCTTCGACGTGACGGTCTACCTCATCCAGGCTGTCTTTGCCAACATCCTCAAGGACGACGAGCTGACAAAGACATTGCTGCCCGATATTTTCTTCTTCGCGTACCTCCTTCCAGTTTGCGCTGCCGGCGATTACGTTGACATCGAGGTTACGCCAACTCAATCGTCGGCCAAGGGCTTGTGGGAGGCGTGGTTGAAGGCTGCGTCGGAGGAGCAGAAGGTAGCCATCAGCGAGGATATCAAGGCGAGGTCGAAAGGTTTTGCGGAAAGCACCAGTGTGCATCCATTGTGAGTTTTGTTATCATTCTTCAACTACGTTTATTGAAGATACTCTAGGCCAGAAGACATCCTCCACGTCCTCGCCCAAAAAATACCAGGTCTACAATCCGATATCCTTTCTGACATCTTCCCTTCTTCGGCCCAACTAGACGCCATGCTCGATGTTCTCTCTGCAGACGCGATCGACCCAAGCATAGCGGTCTTCGACGAACTCATTCCCACCACCACCTCTAGGAGCGTTCGCAAGCTCCGGACCCCCACATCCACCGACCGTCAGGGCTTCTCCGCCTATGCGCGCATCGTCAATGGTCTCCTCCACGCGTTCGTCGAGGATCGGCAACTGGCGCGGCGGAATTTGTGGGCGTTGCGGCACTTCCTCGTACTTGAAGTGTATGCAAAGGACCTGCTCAACGTTCCCTCTGCGCAGTCGCGAAGTCCAGCGTTCGATGGGAAGGTTAGCACAGCTTCGTTGCGCGACGTTGTGCATAGGGTCAGGCAGATCGCTGTCTACCTGCTCAACCTCAACTCGAACACGACCGAGAGCGACAAGGACGGCGAGGGCTGGCGGAAGGCTGTCGTGGATTGGCTCTCGAAGGAGCGGAAGGACGTGGATGTGTTGAGTCAGAGGCAGCGGTTCTTAATTGACTTGATCGGCTATGCGAGAAAGGAGGATGGGGTAAGAGACACGAGGGTGCTTAAGGCAGTCTTGGAGCCGCTATTCAAGGATGGGCTGGAGGTTGAGGAAGCGGAAGCGTGGATGGTGTTTGCGAGGAAGATCGAGCGGGCAGGTTCGTCGTTACCATTTCCTTCTTTCCGACAAATACTAATGGAATTCCTTTGCATTCGCAACGGCCAGCCCCTCAAACCTCTATGTCCCTCATCTCCGCCATAACCTATACAGGCACCGAGCCTCCCAAGCTCGACCGTTACCGCAACGAGCTCGCCGCCTCCCTGTTGGGGATAAAGCCCGCCAAGGCAAACACCGACGGCCTCTTTACTTTACGTAAGCTCGCCGCTTCCGCGCCCGACCCCGAGGGCGATGTTGCGTTCCTCCCCACGGCGCGCGCGGTGAATGTGGTCAAGGCATGTCAGGCGTGGGTGCTCGAGTCGGGTGAGGATGAGGATGAGATGGACGAGGAGGTGGAGAGTGCGATGCTTAGCGTGTTCGTGCACCTAGCGCCGATCTTACAGAACGTGCCTGGAGGCCACTGGCCGTTTGTTTTCGACGTGCTGGAGGGCGTGTTGGATCGGGCGAAAGGGGAAGATGAAGAAGAAGAAGGCACGGATAGCGACAGTGAAGAGAAGGAAGAGAAGGAGGACGGCGCGACCCTCGTCGCGCTCGCCCGTGCCCTCCGGCTTGTCATCGTCCTCGAGGATCTGGCGAAGAGGAACAAAGCCCTCATGGAGGAGTGGAAGGAGCGCCGGATGGGCGTGCTGACGACGATCAGGGACTTGGGTGTGTTGGGGAACGGTAAGCTTCGCATTTCGTCAGGATTGTGAACACTGCTCCAACGCCTGCGACCAGATTCCGGAAAGTCGCTATCCGCCCCACGTTCGGCTTGTAGAGAGCTCGTGCTCTCGATCGTGCAGCACCTGCCCGAGTCGCTCATCGACCAAAACACCTTACCCAAGGTAATTGTTTATTCTTGCACTCAACTTCAACCACATAACACATTCATTATCTTCTATAGATGTGCCACCTCATAGAAGACCCCTCACCTAAAGTCCAGAAAATGGCATACGAGCTCCTCCGGACAGCGGCGAGGAAGCGCACGGAGTACTTCGTCATCGAGGCGGGCGTGGACACCGAGTCGGTCGTGAAGCCGACGTTGCCCGAGGAGTTGTTGGAGATCGTACAGCGGGAGGTAAACTTTGGGTTCGTTGGACAGGGCGCCGGAGAGGGGGAAGGAGCGAGAAAAGGGCAGGGAGGAGAGGGAGAGGGAATGGAGGAGCAGGGCGAGAACGTATTTGGGTATTTGCTAGGGTGGATGCTGGTGTTTGATTTGTTCCAGGACGCGGTGGGTCTCTTTCCTCGTCGTTCATCGGTTTTGATAATATGGGACTAATGGATGGTGCGTTGACAGTCGTTCAAAGTAAAATCGAGCTACATCGAGCAGCTCCGGAACCTCGACGTTATCGTGGGGCACTTCATACCTGCCTTCCTCTCGATCCTGCGGCTCGACCATGGGCAGGGCGGCGGGCTCATCAAGGCGTTCAAGCTGGAGCCGTGGGGCGTCGATCGGTTCTACATCGAACGTAAGTCATTCTTCTCCTCCTCCTTCGAAACGTAGACCATCACTAAATGAAAATCCTTCAATAAAGTATACAACCCCGGCAGCCCACACGCCCTACGCGTGCTCACCGCGCACGTGTACTACCGCGCGCTGCTGACCGTGCCATCGCTCGTACACGCGTGGGTACTCGATACGAAGGACCGCCAGCTGACGGGGGCGCTTACGGCGTACACTGCGGCGCACTTCTCGCCCGTGCTGATACGTGCGGAGCTCGAGCATGTTAGACTCCATTCCTCCTGCTCTGCCTCCATGTCCACCGCCACTGCCACCGCCTCTGGCGTTGAGGTGCTAACAGACGAGAACATGAAGGTAAAAGTCCTACTGCAAGTGAACGAAGTCTCCGCGAGCTACGCCGTCGACGAGCACCTTTTGGAGATCAGGATCAAGATACCGAGTGATTGGCCGCTGCACCGCGTGGAGGTGAAGGAGGTGAAGAGGGTGGGCGTGGACGAGAATCGGTGGAGGGCGTGGGTCCTGGGTGTGCAGCAGATTATTTGGGCTAATGTGAGTTGGTCGTACCAACTTGTTGTCTAAGGGATGCTGACGGAAGCCACGACAGAACGGACGCATCGTCGACGGCCTGAGCCTGTTCAAGAAGAACGTGACGCTGCACTTTGAGGGCCAGGTCGAGTGTGCGATATGTTATTCGTAAGTCTTCCCCAACCAACTTCCAACTATTCTTCTGAAAGAGACTAACGGGCTGCTCGGCGGCGGCGGTATGTAGGATAATCAGCGTGATGGACGGCAGCCTCCCCAAAAAGCCGTGCAAGACGTGCAAGAATCGGTTCCATGCGGGGTGCTTGTACAAGGTACGTTTCCATTCACCCTTGTGTGCTTTCGTACATCACGCTTCGGGTCTTACGTTTCGGCCATTTTCTTGTGCTGGGGTTGGGGGACTGGGGCTGCTGATCTTTCTTTGGCCTTGTCGAATCTCCATCGCTGATCTTACGCTTCTTGCAGTGGTTCAACACGAGCCATTCATCGAGCTGTCCTTTGTGTCGCTCTGATATCATATGATTGTCGAGTGTACGAAGGCGTAGTGTGGCTGTTATGGAAGCATGCATGCATACAATTACGGAGGATGCAATAGGGTGGGGTTGGGGCACTTTGAGGTTCGAGGCGCTTTGTGGGCTCTCGTGTGCGACGTTGGTGTAAGCGATGGGGCGCATCTTATCAGATGTCTATAGGCCCATTGTGTAGTCTAAAAATAGAACAGTGTAGATTACGATTTAGTGTACTTTGCAGCTTTCTGTGTAATTCCGATCTTTTGGACTGGGATCGTGTAAGCTTGAAATATAGGCTCTTGAAATAATAAAAGAACGGTCACAACGGCCTTGGAAACGCTTCTGGGTACCCCAGACAGATGAAAGGCTTTTGGGGCGGAGTACTTGTGTCATATCCAAATTTATCTGGAACGAAACGGGCGACGAGTGGGCGTCATCGCGGGGTAGGCGAAACATGTGAAAGAGGATTATCACTTTCCTTTTTAGGTAGTTTGACACCCCAAAGATCCTGGTGCACGTGACCATGTATTGACGTGGGGCAGTCGGCATCGAGCCTCTGCATCTCTGGGATAGCACAGAATGGGGCGCAGCGGACAGAAAAGAGAAGGGCAGGCTCGAGGTGAGGGAGAGCAGCCTGGAGGACGCCCAGACTCCTGGGAAAGAGCACTGGGGACGGCCGGGAACTAGATGCACCAATCACTGCGACCCTCTGACAACCCCTCACAGGCATCCCCAAAGAAATGATGCCTTAAATACGCCGCTCCCTCGCTTCCTCTTCTTGCCCACCGCCCCTCTCTTCTCCCCCGTCGTCCACGCCGCCAGCCATGGCACCCACGAAGAAGGCCGCCGACGACTACACCCCCGTCGACATCAACATCCCAGACAACTATGTTGAGCACACCCTCAAGACGACAAAGCCCCTCCCGCCATTCGAGTGGAAGAACTGGCGCAACGAATTCCAGTGGCTCTCCTTCACCATCCTCACCGGCACACCCATCGTCGGCCTTATTGGCGCGTACTACACCCGCCTGCGCTGGGAGACCCTCGCCTTTTCCGTCTTCTACTACTTCGTGACGGGCCTCGGTATCACAGCGGGCTACCACCGTCTCTGGGCACACCGCTCGTACAACGCGTCGCTGCCCCTGCAGTATTTCCTCGCCATGGCCGGGGCCGGGGCCGTCGAAGGGTCTATCAAGTGGTGGTCGCGTGGTCACCGTGCGCACCATCGCTACACCGACACCGAGCTCGACCCGTACGATGCCAACAAGGGCTTCTTCTACTCACACGTAGGCTGGATGCTCGTCAAGCCACGTCGCAGACCCGGTGTCGCCGACATCAGCGACCTCAGCAAGAATCCCGTCGTGCGCTGGCAGCACAAGCACTACATTTCCCTAATCCTCCTCTGCAGCTTTGTCATCCCCACCGTCATCCCCTGGCTCCTCTGGAACGACGCGCGGGGCGGTTATGTGTACGCTGGAGTCCTCAGGTTGTGCTTTGTCCACCATGTGCGTTTCCCCCCAAAAAATTGATTCCGTGTCGGGAGCTAATTAGCCATTTTAGTCGACATTCTGCGTCAACTCGCTTGCCCACTGGCTTGGCGAAACTCCGTTCGACGACAAGCACACTCCTCGCGACCACTTTGCGACGGCTCTCGTCACCATCGGTGAAGGCTACCACAACTTCCACCATCAGTTCCCCATGGACTACCGCAATGCTATCAAATGGTACCAGTACGACCCCACCAAATGGTTCATCTGGGCGTGCAAAAAGGTCGGACTTGCCAGCCATCTCAAGGTAATGCCGATCCCTTTTACTCGGAGACTTCGCAAGCTGAACCTCGTCATAGACCTTCCCCGAGAACGAAGTCCGCAAGGGTCAATTGACGATGCAGCTGAAGAAGCTCAAGGAGACCCAGGAGAGACTTGCGTGGCCCAACGACAGCAACGACCTGCCTGTCATTAGCTGGGAGAGTTGTACGTACATCTGTTACCCTGATCCACTTTATGCCTAACTCGTCCCCTTCAGTCCAAGAGCAAGCCCAGAAGCGACCTCTCATTCTCATATCCGGCTTCATCCACGACGTTTCATCCTTCATCGACGAGCATCCCGGTGGTCCTCATTTGCTTGTCAAGATGATCGGCAAGGACGCTACGACAGCCTTCTTTGGTGGTGTCTACGACCATTCGAACGCTGCCCATAACGTAAGTTGTATCTTTTATGCCTTTCGTCCTCTTTTACCTAGTTCTCTCTTTTAGTTGCTTGCCATGAAGCGCGTTGGTGTCCTCCACGGAGGTATGCCTCACGGATTGGACGACAAAGTGGTGCCACCAAGTCAACGGCTGAAGATTGCACGATACACCGAGCTGAGCTCGCCGTACAACAGCTCCGCGATGTCGGACGGCGAGGGCCTCCTCGGTTGATACGTCTATTCATTTGTCTCGTCTGCTGTTACCGCTATGATTATTTCGATCTCGTCTGTGCATAATAGTCAGGGAGGAGGATGGGAGGTGAAAGACGCTGTAGTTGATTGTTGAAGTTGCATACATACATACGTGACCCACCTCATTCATTTAGATTAGATGATCAATTCTCTCGACTCTCTGTGTCGTTGTCTGCTTTGTTGTAGACCCCGATGGAAGTTGTCGAGATGTGCAAAATGTAATTCACGATTTCATGTCATTCATTGTTGCTCGACGCGCCGAGTAAGTAGGTTCGACGCAAGTTCGGCGCCAGCTGCTGACAAACTGGTCGTTTCGACTCAGGAAATTATTCGTGGGGCATGCATTTCAGCTAAAAATGATAGAGATATTAGAATTGGTACGGGAGCTTCTCCCTGACAATATCTTTCCGCTCAGAATTAGTGGACGCGCCTGTGTGATATGTATGCGATCATCCATGACGCGTCGCTGATTAAGAGGCACGTGATTGCGTTGACAAGAATCTGAAGGAGACCGTTGCCTTTCTTCATTCACCGACTCAGAAGTACGGAAGTCTTGTCCACGGATGCCCATGCAGGTACGAATTCACTGTTTCAATGATCGTACTTGATGGTTATGTTCATAACACTGAACAGCAGCGGTGCATCTAATCACATTGGAAGACCACCGATTTCGTTTCTGTCTCCCAACTTTCTTCTCGGGAATAACAACGACGCGGGCATAGAGGGCCAATACGTACACGTTCTGAGGACCTCAACGCTTGAATGGTTCCGTCAACGCGGGTACGCGCTCTGTATAAGAGAAGTGCGGCGGCCTCGCGTGCCCGACCATTGTCCCAGCCGTCGCAGGTCTGCCTTGGAAGGAAGGTGCACTGATTCTGCGCTTGAAAGCCTCACCCTTCGCACGGGGCACAATGAAGCTTCAGGTGAGTACCATTATGCAGTTTTTCTGTTCGAATTGTGATCCTGAACTCTTCCATAGGACAACGGTACGCGTAAGAAAAAAGTGAAATATCTTACGCCGTCCGTCATGCTGCTATCCATCGTATTGCAACCGCTGTGCTTGGCGTGTGGCACATTGCCTTGGTTGGTCGGATAGAGGTATGCAGGTTTTTTTCTCTCCTATGAATGGTCCATAAGTTGAGTGCTCTAACCTCAGAGTCAGTATGTTCGGAACATCACAAACAATACTATATTCGTTTCCTACGAATAAGCTCGATGAGGATTAGAAGGCTGCGAGATTTGTACACGTTCTGGGCCCAGTCGCCACTGGCGAATGGTTTCAGCAGCCTAGATGTGCGTTGTACGGGCGGCAGCTGGCAAAATAGGGGTCGATGAACGCTAAGTACGGTGTCTTCTGGTGCTATTATACTACCAAAAGTGTGCGTATCCTGAACTGCACTCAGGGGACGGTCGGATATGCGTGAGGTATTTGAGATTCTTCCAAGCTCATGCTATCTAATCGGATTCTAGGCGCCATGTGGACGGGCGTGGCGCATTGCCTTAATCGGGTGGACCAAATACTCCCGTCGGTGTCTGGGCTCGCTTGGAAGTTGGGCACCATCAAACAATTGTATCCTCGCGAGACGCGCCGAGGTGCGCACGCGATGTCAACCGAAGGGAAATTTGTAATTGGTCTACTAAGCTGACGATCAACCTGGGTGTTTACTGAAGGTGAGGGAACAATTGGCATGTCAAAGGCTCAAATACAAGCTAAATATACTCTCAACTGCAGTCCAGATGCGAGGACTATGTGTATCTGTCATCTGCCAGACACTACGGGGTTGTGGTAATCATAATACACACCACCACTGTCGGAGGGTGACGGAGAAGAGCGCTAGCACTATCGATAGCCAGAGAGTCGTGATGGCATCGTCGGTTGGCTTGTGGCTGAGCCCTCCGTTGGAAGCGCGATCGCTGAAGGTGTCGCGTGCATAGGAGAGAAGTGCAACTGGGATGGTAGCTAGAAGGGTGGCCTACGGGAGATCAGGGTGGGTCATCAAATGCGTGCCTTGAGGCGAGAAAGCGCGATGCTTTGCGCACAATGCCTGGCATAAGGACATCGTTCGTACTGCGTCCGATATCTTATCGGTGTGGGTGGCTACTAGAGACGGCCAAGGACGCTCTGTTCCCTGGACTTCTGTGTGCTCTTGCGCCATCTGTTGGTATGAATGATGGAGAGGCGGTGGTAACACAGCACAAGACCTGGATGGAGTATGAGCTGCTGTGAGCCCATCACTGTAACCTATGCATTCCTCATGTCCTCAGGGTCATCGTGGTGCCATCCCCATAAATACAGCGACAGTTCCTTCCCTCTTCCCCACTTCAGCTCATATTCCAAGATGGTTGAACCGGGACTATTGGTGCTGCTGCCAGTGTCGGTGCTGGAGCAGGTCGCATTGAACCTTGTTGCAGAACGAGACTCGGACGAGCTGAATCGGCTTGCAAGGTCACGCGCCTCGCTAAGTACTGACAGTGTATGGTTCATTGATTTCAAACTTTCTTTGCCGTTGCCTTTTGCTGAAATATAGACCTTTCCGCAGGCGAATGTCCCAGAAGTAGATCCTTCTGCCGTCCTCGAGGTCCAGTGTGGATGTAAGAAAATGAAACTTCGATACAGAAAGCAGAAACGGGTCTTGTTGGGGGTAAATATTTCTTGTTCTCTCCCCTCCGGTAACTCGAAACTTATTCCCTTCTTCAGCAACTTGCAGGCTCACAACAATCAGCTTGGGCGAAAAATCCCACTCAATACGTACGTACAAAGCAAGACGGACCGCCTCTGAAGATTGTGGAGAATACGGAACAAGGGATCGAGACGGTATACAATCTTATGATTACTTCTCCCGACGGCATACCTGCAGCCGGTCTTCCAGAGACCACGCACGACATCGTGAGCCTTTCGACATCGCTGTCCTCAGTCTTGAACTCTGACAGTCGACTTCCCACCGCAGGCTATCAACCTTCTCACTCCAATTGCAGATGCCCATCGGCAAGGAAAATATTTCTCAGAAGGCTCAATATCTGTAGTATGTCCTCCTTCGCTTTGCCACTCTCCCACCAAACCAACGGGTTTTACATAAAATCTCGCCAGCATGACGTCTACTTCACAGAAGAGCATAAAATAAGCTTCAAGGTACTGCAGGAGAACTTAAAGGTGGCTCATCGTACCAAGCGTGTGGGAAAGGTGAATGTAGAAGAATTTGCAGTTATGTTTGTCGATGTAAGGCATTATACCTGTAACCGCATATCGACTGCTTGATGTTGTCCGGCGTGCGAGGGGGTGACTCCTTCCCCAATTGCAACTGCGACGAATCATCGTCGAGGTACAACACCTCAAAGATCCAGTGTTAATTTATGACTTATCTCGAAAGGTCAATGTCCTAAAGCACTGGAACGGGATAAGCGACTCTTCTCCATGATTAAGAAGTGTTTCAAATTCATTGTGGAGCGCCGTCCAAGTCCCTCGAGGTTACTCAGATGGCTACGATCTCGTGCTAAATTATCTGCGTTGGGGAGGTGTGTAGCTTTTCAATCGTTTCGCCTCGCAATGTTTTCTGATTAAAACTCCTTGATCTGATAAGTTGCGTCAAAAATATGCTTCCATTAAATTGGCTATTCGTTTAACGATAGTGTCAGATCAGGGACGTCTTATGTGTGGACTCAGCCAAAGGAGTCACTGGCAAGTCAGAGCTCTGGGATATTGGACTCACCCTTTCGACATTGTGATGTTTCTTTCTTCGCTTTCCTTCATCTTTTGCCTCTCACTTATTATATGAATTTTCCACACAACATAGCTCGTATCATTGACTCGGAATCTAAACAAATGCTTTAGCACCCTGTACGTGCATTATTCGAATGGTAACTCACCTTTTTCGTACATCGACGGAACGCGTCTCGAAAGGTTAAAGTGAGAGGTGCGGGGGTCGACGCCCAGAGACAAGCATCGACGCTGGCATACTGGGAGTTGCTGGTGGTGAGGTACAGAAAAATACCAGATTGAACGGAGGGAGAGCCCAGGTCATGTTGTGGGAAGATGTGCAAGATATGTTCAAAGCGGGATATCCAGTATACCAAAGGGATACATACCACCATCATATGCAAATAAGCGATCCTGGATCACGGCGACTCGGAACGACGCTGCTGAACTTGTGCTAGACATCAACTTAAAAAGAGCAGATATCTGTTACACTCCATCCATTATTTGCGCTGTGTTGATATCCTTCAAGTTCTCTTACTATATAGTAAGGTGAGACCCAGTACGGTCAGCGCCTGGATAGTGAGGAACCGAAACTGCTTCAGCTACCAGCCTTTCGGCTACTCTCGTCTAGCATCACAGCCAATGACGCAAGAGCCGGAACACATAGAGATCCAGGGTACGGAGAGGCCTTTGGCCCCTCGAAACGCCAACACCGCGCACGCTATCGGGGGTCCGAACGATGATCTTCTTCTGCCAGCCATTGTACGCCACGCACCACCTAGTCGCGCCTCGAGGCACATCTGGCTTACCCATATTCATCCGCGTCCCATAGGCCACACTCCTAGCCACCATCCCAGCCACACTCCTTTCCTATGCGCGAGACACCTTCGCCAATCGCGCATCCAACGAAGGGCCCGCCCACAAACCAACCGACGACACCATCACGACCCTCTGGTTCGTATCGATAGTGCTGGCGCTCTTCTCCGTCATCCTCCGACGCAGAGCCACCCCGTTCACACGATATTCCTTGACGGCATCGGTGATTACCCTTCTCACCGGGCTTCTCGTATTCAGCTGGGCGGAGCAGCCGAGAGCGGTGTCGATCACATTCACAGTAGTGGTGGGATGTGTTCTGTTTACTGCCGCCTTCTATAAGTAAAGATCCTGCATAGAACCGCCATTTTTGAATTTAACAAGTTGGTGCAGTGCACGGTGATTGCAAATTCTTTCACGTTGAAAAGTAAACCCGAAGGCGGTCCCTTGTTCGCAGAACGGAGAAGATGATCTACTTGCAGCACATCCCGGATGTTTGGGGTGTTGTCACCTTCGGCTGCAGAGAGAGAAAGGTCGATGATGGTTCTCTAGGAAATTGGCGCACAGACGGGCCCTTCTGCAACTCGAAAGACCCAGCTAACCAGTACAGCTGGCGAATACAGGCCCAAAAGTAAGCTCGAAGGCCGCCATGGAATAGTAAGAGCAAAAGGGAGGACGAGTGACGAAGTCCGGAGGCCTAGGTATGGGAAGGAATGCTCCGCGTTGGAAGCATCACTCCGTTGAAGACGGGGTGTCGGTAGTCGAGAGGATCGCTGTAAGCGCTACATATCCTTGTCCATTCACTCGTAAAGCAGCTAGGAGCAGGCGGCTCTCGCTCGTCTTCGATGAACCGTGGTGGAATTGGTCTGCCTGTTGCTGACGGCTTGCATTTCCAATTCCGACACCATGATGGACTTCGTTCTCTTTATAATCCGCGAATGAGGACAAACTCACAACACGGCAGGCGAGTCGTCTCCTTTGGCGATGGGTGATTAAGGAAGCCTAGGTTTGCTCGACGTTTCGCACTGTCGTCGTGGTTAGTGTGCAGTCGTGTCGTGACATAAGCCTCCTCTTTGTCTGCTTCTGCAAGTGCCGGTACAAACGTTGGCAAGTCAATCTGCACGCCTTGGATCTTGATGTTCAAAGGTATTGAGGTCCAGGGCGATGTCTGTCCCGATGTGATACGGCCGAGGCGAAAGTCGAAAGGAAAGGGATTACGATGTACCAGCCAGGGGAAGATGGTAGCGGACTTGCCAGCACCGTAATCCAGTGTACTTCTTCCTGCCTCGATGTTGTTGTCTTCTCTCAAATCCCCCTCAGCAGTCGCCTTCGTTCGCCGCCACTTGCCTCCATTCGTCAAGCCTATCACTCGTTTCGCTTCTCCTTCCTCCGCAGCCCCTTAATCCACTTTCCTGTACTATCCTCACGACACACGGAACCCTTGACCCCCTGCGTGCGTAGCACCTGCTTCGGCCATATGTCAGAGCTTCAGAACCTGAGAGGGCAAGCTCAGCTCATTGAAAGTACGACGGTGAATGAATGGGATAAAGGTCGATTGGAATTCAATTATGGCTGGTACCAAAATCAAAATGCTGGTCGGAGGAAGTATCTGAGATATCATGTCAGGATGACGTGCAACGTTGAAGGCTGGTTGCCGGTCTAGCATTCTGAGGGTTATATATCTGGGTGCCAATGCGTGGAGTCTAGTCGTTTGCCTTCATATCGTCGAAGAGGGGTCGTTAGCTCCATCAATTCCGTCCGGAGCGAGGCAGGGTGTGAAACGTGGGCCCAACTCAAACAAAGCACCTTCGTCTGGACACGAAGATGCAGGAGGCGGGGAGGGTCGAGGGTCGAGGACGACATTCGTTGGATGTAAACAATGGTAGCGCGAGATCGGCGCCACGATCCCTGGCTTGGAATGTGGAGTCTTCCGAAAAAGATACGTAGCGTTGTCGAAAGTCGACGGCCAAGAAGAGCAGAAGTGATCTGGGTAAACGTCGAGAAGAAGGGAGGAAAGCTGAGTGTGCTGGGAAGAAATGTTTCGAGGTAACTTGCTCAATTCTGCCACTTTTGCCTTGAATTTGAGGTGCAAAGCTGGCTGGACGATGCTGAATGCCGTGTCCGTTAGGGGCAGCACATGCAGGAACATTTGGGAAGACTGAACGCAGGGCAAGTACGTTTGCTGTATGCATTGCGAGATACCTGTGTCAGGTAGAAGAGATCGGGATCAAAACAACACGTATCGTTCGATGGCTCGTTGAGCAAGTCCCTGAGGCTAATGACGCGCTGGCACAGTTGACGTGCACAACGGGACTATCATCCTTTGGGTGTAGCTGTCTCAATTTTCAGGACTGATAGAGCGAGCAATGGGGCTCTTTGCGACATTCTGAGTACCAGGGCCGTCAAAAAATCGCTCGGAGAGATTAGAGCGTGTTAGGTGGTGTGTGCTATATGATGGAATCATTTAGAGATCGAAGAGGCTGTCGCGTTGAAGACACACAAAGGGAGGCACTTGAAGCGTTGTCGTACTTGTCCCGGAAGAATGCGATTGAACTTTGAAAGTTGAAATTTGAGCACCGCTTGCGATAAGGTCATTAAAAAATTGCTGGATGACCATAAGCATTCTGGGCGAGGTGTGAGGAATGGGCGAAGGCGACGAAGAACGGAAATATTGCTCACTGCTGCACGGAAAACCCCTATTCCGACCCAACAGTTCGATTCACCGGTACAATCGATGATACCAGCTGCACCAGCTGAATGGATGAAGGAAGGAGAATAGCTATGTCATGTCTACAGAAACGAGATGTTGGGGAGAGATACAGACATTCGTTTAATTTCGGCTTTGTCCTTACTTGAATCGCGAGCACGTGGTCATCAACAAGTCCCGGAGTGTGACTTGAACTTGAACCTCAAGTTATTACTTGACCTTATTCCTCAATCTCTTTGCAACCAGCCGTGCGGTGGCGCTTGTGTGACTCAATGGACGTAAGTACGATGGCTAATTTAAAGTTATTCTAACTAATCTGCTCGACAGACCGATCTTACTATTCCATTCCAATTCCCTGTCCCAGCCGAAGACATGAACATTGAAGAGGACATTCTGACCGAACGTTTTGCGTTCTGGGATTCACCGACCACATTTAAATGGTTCGAAGCACGCGGATACACGCTCTACAAGCGGATGCCTACTGGAGAGGACGACCTCGTCCCCAACTTCTACACGGTTCCACGGTTGCCTTCTCAGAACGTCGTGGAGGCGGAATATCCCTATCCCTATCATGAAAGCTACACCTGTAACGGGAAAGAATACACACGCTGTGCGAAGGATTGTTCAGTTGAGTTACTCTTTCCTTTGCCTCTGGAGGCGGAGCTCACACCAAAACCGGGTTCTCGCAAACACGGTTCTCGTGCATCAGCCCTCTTCCCCCCCTTTCTTTTGTATAAAATTACCCTTGATAGACCATGAAAACGGACGAAATATCCCAATCATTGTGCTATTCCGTCCCCAGCAAGGAAAATCCACGTAAATCTCGTAAATTTTGCCAAATGTGATGATAACTTGCTTATTTTTGGCTGGAAAATTATAAGGCCGTCTTGAATGTGAAAATGGCCAAAAAGTCATCATATTTGAGAAAATAAATTATTAAACTGTAGCTGAGAGAAGAAAGAGTATGCAGAACAGCAGCGGAAGCCCAAAACTATGGATGTGCTCCGTATTCCATGCCATCCTCGGAACCGGGGGGGTCAGAGTTGAATCCGGTTCCAACCTGGTTCTGGCAAAAAAGGGACGAACAGAACCGACTCAGAACCGAAAGCAATAACCGGCGAGAACCGTCCACTCTGACCTCCCCTAATAGGGCAAGGTAGCATTCGCCCAAGATACTCAATTTCGCCACGTAGCGATTAAACTAGTACCAGAAGGCACGGACGAACTGCGCATTCTACAACTACTTAGTCGACAAAGTCCGCAGACGCTCCGAGAAAACTGCCTTATTCCAGTGCTGGGCTTTCTTCCCATCAAGGGTTTCTGGTTCGTTATTATCCCCAGGTGCGCAGCCTCGTGGCGCGAGCTAAACACACCTCATCCTACTGCTTTTTCTAGATGGGGCACATCTATCAGCCTCCCTCGTCTCGAAACTCTTCAAAATGTTGTACAGATCATGCATTCCATGCTGAAGGTACTTACATTGTTCGTTCACGAAGTTAGGCGACGCTGATAAGACCACTCGCTCCACAGGGACTAACTTTTCTTCATAGCCTAAATATTGTTCATCGCGTAAGATCATTCACATATTGCTCTTCTCGTAGATCTAACTCTTTTCGCCTAATGCAGGACCTCTGTCTGCGAAATGTTTTGGTCAATCATTTTTCCAGTGACCATTCCAAGCATTATAACCCTTGGAGGGCAGAGCTCCGCCAGGCAGGCTCGCTTCTGCACGCTATTTTCGATTTCGACCTCTCTGTTATTGCCCCTCCAGATGTGAAGAAATCAGAATTCAGGCTCCCCTACGACATGTCGTGGTATGGATCATATAATCAACCATTCGATACCGCTCAAGGAGAATTCGACTATGACCCCTTTGCCTTCGATGTGGGGACCATGGGAAGAGAATTCTGCGATTGGTTTCAGGTGAGGACGTTCATAGTGGTTTCGTTCTGAGGTATGGGATTCAATCCAAACCATCAGCATCTCTCAGCAGATCTTCCGCTTCTTGCCCCTTTGCTTGATGGAATGACAACGCGAAATATACCCAGGCGTCTTACGGCCTCTCAGGCGCTTCACTTCCTGGAAGCTCGTCTCCAAGAGCTATCAGACGCGGACTTGCAACGCCCATTCTATGAGACGACTGAGCATCCTGACTACGACAGATATGACCGTTGGCACCTCGTACGTCCCTACAGACTTCGCAAGCAAATGGGCAATTTATAAGGAGCCACCACTTGCACTCGCGACAAAATTCCTTCGCTGGATATATTCATTCGAATCCATAGTCCATGTTGTTCCTTTCATTCGTAAAACGTGCTTCTATATCTGGAAGTTCTCTCGCATCGTGGTATCTGCTGTCGGCTTGCGCCGTTGATTCATTATGGAGGACGGTGTTTCTGTCCACAAGAACGGCAGTGGTTGATCAGATACGGTGTGCTAGCCAGATGATGCATTCCATCATCCGGCCTCTCATGTGATGAGGCGAGAAGGGTCCTGGAGCAACTCTGGCTCCAAACGCATCTCATGACCGAACGCCGTCGTTCAGCCTCTTGACACCTGCCTTTACAGACGGCCTTTCCGTGCCCCTATTACCAGAGAAAGAATATTTGCACAGCGTCGTTCGCTTTGCATGTTAGCATAGCAATTACCTACAATGCGGTTTAGGTGCACACCTTCCTCGCCATTCACACCAGTTAGGCTTGGGACGACACCTAAAGACAGGTCCGTACTTACTGGTAGAAATCTTAAGAATTTTGCTGATAGATGGTGACAGCTCCCCGCCAAAGTCGTACGCCAGTATTTCATTGTTCAAAGCCTGGCGCAAGCATATTGTCTGCGCCAGTAAAGCCTTATGCGTCTTCCAGAAAGTCTGTAAACGGCCATATGTTCAATCTTCTCAATATCTCCTTGCGCGAGTGTTTATCGATCTGCCTGCTGATCGTAAGGGTTTTCGTGTTCGCCTGAACCCTGATTGGGTTGGCAAAGAACCCTTCATCCGCTGATATGTCGGGAGGTTAAAATGAGCGTGGGTGCTCGTGGTAGTGTGAGACTGAGTCAGAGAGACAGATGCACGAAAAAGTAGACAAATTCGGACTGTAGGTGCCAACCTCATGGCGACAAAATGAGGGTGCAGAATCGAATTAGGACAGAATGACTCTTCAAAGCTTCACCGCCATACTCTAAGATGTCTAAGCTGGTGACTCGGGGAAATTGACAGGCACGATATCTGACATTCCAGACGAATTCAGAACAGTACACGAGGTCGGACAATGGGGGGACAGAGAGCGGACATGAATTGGGACTCCGCTGATGTATGCCTTTACCACAGCGCTTATCTTTTGATCAGTTCTCTCTAGAGCACTCAATAGTCCGAATGACGCTAGCTGAACGACGTATGTTAACATCTTATCCATTTGCGACAGTTTCCCTTTCTAAATTACCTTCCCATAGGGAAGATCATATCAGATACCGATGACCCAACACCCACCATTTCTGGTGCTGTGTTCCGGTCAAAATAGGTCGCATATGGAACTGGATGGATTAACCACCTTCGATTTTTTACGTCAGCTCCTTCATCGGTTTATCTGTGAGCAGAGTCAAGCAACTGTTGAATTACTGTGCACCACCATTGACCGGTTGACCCTTTCAAAGTTGAAGATCATGGGAGCCCAGGCCTGAAATTTAGTGAAAATTTCCCGCTTTGAGGCGGGCTTTATGCTTTCTCTCCTGGGAGTCTCATAACGTACATCAGGACGCCTCGAGGTCCGCATCTGAACCACCCACTTATGGAATAATTTTCCATAATAGGACTCGTGACTCCCGCTCATCAGCACCCGAGGATTAGTGTCGGACTTCGAATCCAGTGCATCGTGATCACCTCATGTTCTTGGACAAAAAAACTTTTTGCTTCAGACCAGGAAGAAGATGCCAGGTCAAGCTAATTACCAAGACTCGGACCGTACAGTTAAAAGGTGGTTATCCACGAAAAAAATGATCGGACAGCAAGGAACTCGAATCACTGCCCTCCAGCTTCCAACCTCCACCTCACAGAATCGAACAAGCTCTGACAGCCGCTACTATGGCCCCTACAGGACAAGATGCACCTGCCTATACCGTAAGCAAACCTCACGCTCTCATGTGTTGCTTCGTCGCTTGCTTATCGGTTTCTACTTTCAGGACAATACACGTTTGGTAATAACAAGGGACGTTGAGGGCTCTAAGCGTGTCCAAGGAACACAGACGACCTGGGGGAATCACGTGTTGAGGGCTAACTCTGTTGTCTACACTAAGGGCGACAAAGTGCTTGCCCCCCGAACCTCGGTAAGCACCGCTGGAGGCTACTTATCTCTGCTGGCGTTTGAAATTATATTAGATCAATACGGACCCTCATCTATCACTCCAAGACTACACCTATAAGCTTCAGACTACGTTCCCTGAGGTTGTTGAAGAAGCGAATCTGAGCAAGACTCTTTATGTCGGATCCATGAATCCGAACAAAATTCCTCACCTAGCCCTATCTGCGACCAAGAACGGCCCTCCTAATAGCAATTTCTACGGGGTGAGCAGTTGTTATTCTCTTATCTGATGCTGAGGCTGAATGTCCTATGTTACTTGTCGTTGTTGCCAGCGCGGGCAAAGGGTCTACATTCGCCCAGGGTTCGGCCCTTTCATCTATCAAATCGGCCATAGCACGTTGTCGCTGAAGGCAGGCGACCTGATCCAGCTTGAGGCAGAGGCCACTACCAAATCTGTGAGTGAATGATCTTCATTCGTGTTTTATCCCTGATAAACCAATTGTGGCTTGTGTAGGATGCCAGGCTCAAGGAGGAATTGAGTATTCCAAATACCTACTATCTTCAAGTGTATAAGGTGGAGTTGCGTAAGGTGGCAAAGACCATGGAATGGCGCTCCAAGCATGCTGTCGCCCATCAGGATTTGCAGCTTGTCTGAGCTTGTAGACCGGATTCATTGAGTGTTATTTTTTGAAATTGCGATTGTGATACCTGTATTATCTTCACGTTTGGAATGAGATTTTTGATCATATGGGCAGAAAGCGTTGATAATAAGATAAGCAATAAAGAACAAGTTGAAATTTCAAGTTGTGTTTACGTTCCCTAGCAAAATTCCGACCAGGGCAACAACACTTCCCAGGCATCAGGTATGCACTCGGCTTCAAATGATGTTCTCATTCTTGCACTCTTGGAAACTCTATTCGTTACTAGTAAAACGCAAGGGAGGCATAGGTCATATCAATACGCAATCGAGAAGACGTACAACAATCCAGTGTCATTTTCTATCAGGATAACTCAAGAGGCTGCGAAGGCACATGACAGTCCGAGGGGCCAAATTGTACAAAGGAAGGAAGAAGAGACGCACGGCAGGAACAATATGTGCCAGTTGTCTAAAAGAGCATATCCATCGAAGTATCTTAATCGATAGAGGAATTCTCGGTTCTCGAAATGCTGCCCACTTGCGCGCAAAATCAGGAGAAACACCTTGCCATCGGTCATACACGTCATAGCTCTGGTCCTTGGGTTCTGAGGGTTTCTCGGGTGCTTCGAGCTCCAGAATGTCAGCTGAAATATCCGGCAGAAATTTTTCGAAAAAGTCTAGTGCTTCAGCAGCAGTAAACCGAGACGAGATATCCCGTGTTGTCATTCTGTCAAGAAACGGTGCGAACATCGGTATAAGCGTGGATAGGTGCTGTTCAAACCGTGGTCAATGATCATTCGTGTATAAAGGTGCGTGGAATAGATCACCCTTACCTGGTATTGAATGCAAAATACCCTTCCCAGTGTGCCCACATCATACGCAAACGGATTGTAATCAAATTCACCTTGCGCAGTGTCTTTGGGCTGGCAAAACGTGCCATCCCAGGATAGACGATATGGTAATCTGTAGCACCTTTTGTCTACATCTGGCGGGAGCATCATGGAGATATCAAAGTCGAAGAGACAATAGATCAGGCTGTTGGACGATCGTAGCTGTTCCCGAGCAGCGCTTTCGGTGTACGATGTAGTATCGTCCGAGAAATGGCTAACAAGAACGTTGGCAAACTTGATATCCTGAGGAAAAGCTAATGTCAGGCTCATGTGATGAAAATATCTCTGGAACGTACACGATGAAGGATATTGTGTCTATGCAAGAATGCCACCGCCTGCACACAGAATTCGTGAGGGAAAACAATATGCAAAGCGTGCGACGGACGTACTTTGAGCATCGAATGCATAATTCGAACGACATTCTTGATAGAACCGCCGTTTGGGAGGTGCAAACATGGTCCCCACCTGGTAACAGATGAGCACGAGACGAAAACGAGCCACACAAGTTGGCTTACCTCGGCATAACAGCAAAAGAGAAACGACCATTCGAGAGGATATCCAGAACGGGGACAACGCAGTTTTCTTTCAGCACTGCTAAATTCTGAGACTTCAGAAATTCGAGGATACGACGCTCTTCTGAGTCGGTCATGATAAGTTTGATGGCCACATGATGAGATGGGTTCTGATTGTCTTGAGCATATACAATTTTGCCCTACAGTAGCACAGAGATCAACGACATACGCTCAGCACTTGCATGAGACAACTGACCATAATCTCGGAAGTGCGAAGGGCTAAAGGAAGGCCGTACCTCCCTTCGAGGTTGTAGTGTGGGTACGGGTAGTCCAGGTTGCCACAGGTCTCACAGGGCAGAGCTGGGATCGTCGTCCATGCTGGCCCACCCCATTCCTCTTCCTCCCGCTTGTATAGTGTATATCCACGTTCATTGAACCATTGGAAAACGGTAGGTGAATCCCAGAATGCCCTACGTTCCTCAATGTTCGCGTCGTCATTGTCCTCGAGGGGAAATGGGAATGTAATTGGTAGTGTGGTCTGTGGATGAGGCTTTAGTTGACGATATCGGAAGAGTCTTCCAGAAAGAGCCTTACATCTATGTTTTCTGGAAGAGCGCTGGACGAAATACTGCACTCTGTGGGCGATGACATGATGGTTGGAATCAAAAGTTGGGCGGGCCGGTACCCAATCGAAGTCAACGCGATCACGTGCGTGACCAGCGCGACGCCGCCGACGCGTTCCAGTTTGATCTGCTCCCAACGTGAACTTGCGAAGACTCTTCGATCATTGCATCTTCGTATCCTTGTAACTGTCTCGGAAATGTCTGTATGTTGACTCACCCATCGTCTGTCATCTTCTCTGACACACCTCCAGATGCAACTCGAAATTCCATTTCCATTTCCTATCAACGAGCCGCCGCCGGGGACGCAAGAGCAGCGCTTCGAATGTTGGGACTCCCCGAATACGTTCGAATGGTTCGAAGCCCGTGGATACACCTTGTACAGAAGATTCGAACATAAGGGCGGCTTTGGTGTTAGTGACTACACCATCCCGAGGTTACCTTTCGGTGATTTCGTGGAAGCTTAATACCCCTATCCATACCACGA